TATATATATATTGTCTATAACAAAAATAACGTTACAGAGGTGTGTGAACTTGCAAGTATGATGTCAGACACTGTAATATGCTCAAGGTTGTACTTGACTGACTTGACTTTTCCCAGGAGGTCTCCCATCCAGGTACTGACCAGGGTCTACCCTGCTTCAGTGGGCAACCAGTCTTGGGCTACAGGGAGATACGGCTGTGGCTGTTAAGAACATAACGATAAGGCCCTATGTCCACCAAAGCGTTTTTTGAAACGCCAGGAGCGTGCCGAGCGCTGGACTACCAATCAACCTTTACACTCTGCTTGTACTACAACTGAACTAGTACAATAGAGAAGTTAATATTGTTTGTCTCCGAGTATTTATGTCTTTACCAGGTGGAATTGCCAGACTAACATATTATTGTTATGAAAAATAAGGTAAAAAAAATAATTTATTCGCGATGTGTCTGCCATATTACTTCAGCGGATATTCCGTATCATAGCAACCACAGTGTCTCAACAAAAAAACTCACAGCTGGGTGTTTTCAGCAGAGCACCTGGCGTTTTCAGCTGGCTAAAAACACTTTGGTGGACACGCGGCCTAAGAACAGCATTAGTATGGCGGCCATACATTATACAGATTATACAGATAAACACATGATAAAGCTTGGCTTAATTCTTGACGTTTGTACTGGCTACTGTATATAGGCCACCAGGGCACCATACAAACTTTATCAAAGTTACTACTCTAGGTTCGGGCCATTCCCGAGCTCGGAGCTCTTCCCCGGACAGCACGCAAAATATGCATTACCATACTTCAGCTAATTATATGTAAGCGTGAACTCGTGAAAGAAATGTAAGACGCGAAAGGGCTGTAGCAACATTGTTGCATGACATTCAGCAACTGCGAGGCAATCCTGACCACATTTGCTAATTTCTTATGCCAGATAAGGTGGACACGCGGCCTAAGAACAGCATTAGTATGGCGGCCATACATTATACAGATTATACAGATAAACACATGATAAAGCTTGGCTTAATTCTTGACGTTTGTACTGGCTACTGTATATAGGCCACCAGGGCACCATACAAACTTTATCAAAGTTACTACTCTAGGTTCGGGCCATTCCCGAGCTCGGAGCTCTTCCCCGGACAGCACGCAAAATATGCATTACCATACTTCAGCTAATTATATGTAAGCGTGAACTCGTGAAAGAAATGTAAGACGCGAAAGGGCTGTAGCAACATTGTTGCATGACATTCAGCAACTGCGAGGCAATCCTGACCACATTTGCTAATTTCTTATGCCAGATAATAACCATTCCCTTTTATGAGTGTCGTTCTATTTTGTGGTTAAAAAATAATTATGCAGCATGTTTATTAATATTGTAAATCATCAAGATCTTTCTTTTTAACATTTACAGTAAATTAATCAATTAAAATCAACACACAGTCGTTGAGTGGTAGAATTAGTAAAGAGTTCCAGATCGCGTTAGTGAAACACTGTTTGTTTGTTTGCTTGCTTTACTTTGCCATGGATTCATTTTTAAACAAGACAGTATAATGCAGGCTTTTCAGAGAGACTGAAAGGAAACAATGATGCAGTGCCGAGTCTGACTAGAGTGGGTAGTGTGAGTAAGAAGTGTGTGCTTTTACCACTATTGCATTGTCTGTTCCTGTGTGTTTTATATATACGGAGTATTTTTTTGTTTTGTTTTGTTTTTTTAAACCAATATGACCCGTGTTGCTTTCAGAGTACGTCACAGCAGCGTCCATCTGTTATTTCAATAAGTTACATTTTCAGCCAATCACAGCAGTGGGCGT